GCAAAAGATTTTTGAAAGAAAAGCTCGAAAAGTATCACAATAACAAGATCAATATTCCAGGGACCAAAATTATAGCTAAAGAACTTGTTGAATGTGCAAAGGTTTATGCTAATATTCTTGAAATTGGTTTATTCCAATATATCACCTACTCACATCGCTCAAGAAAAAAAGTTCTATTTAATCCAAGTAGCACAGTAACTAAAGACGAGGTTAATATAGAAATGGGAAAAACAAAGGTGAAATGGTTTGTAATTCCTGAGCTTATGGAGTCTTATATCAATAGTCGTGACTATGAAAGTTTATTTTTAGAAATTGAAATTGGAAATTGCCAACTAATAGAAAATAAACTTAATGGTTTACAGGAATAAATTACCTTCTATATAGTTACTAATCATCTATATAATAATGCAAATTTTATTTATAAAAACTAACATATAACTTGTCATCATTTGCACTGATGGTTTTTGCTATATATGAATTTATTATATCTATTAAATATATATAAAATAATTACTATATTTATTTACAATATTTGAATTTCTTCGTTTCTAAATTGTCAATTATAATTTATTTGTTATTTTTCAATAATAAACTATTGATATTATGGTAATGATTACGAATTTTATTTATATTAACATAAATAAATATCATTTATTAATCGAAGAATCTGTTTACCTTATTAATTTTTTTGTGTTAATTTTGTCAGCGAGTCACTTATTCCTTATCCAAGTTGATTTAGCCGGTAAGTCTTATCTTACGGTGTTCTCTCAATGGACTAAACAAAGAATCTGATTGGTCTGTCGGATTATATTGGTCAATGAGAGAAATGTGATTAGTCTCTTATTCAAGTTGATTCAACTGATAAATGCACTCTAATTTTTTGTGTAAAATATTATAAGAATATCTAAACAATAGAATTTTAGTATGTCCAAATAATAATTTCCTATATATAGGTGAAATTTTTTTATCTATAAGATAAAAAAAATTTCATCTTGAATAAATGGGCCAAAATAATCGGAATTTTCTCTGTATTTAATAACCTACTTATTTGGTCCTTGCCTTATTTAACCAGCTTTTTTTATCTTCATCGATATGAGTTCCGGATCTTTGTGAAAAGACCCATATTTATAGTTTAAACATGCAACGTTAACTAATTATTTTTATAATGACGAAAGGTTTAGTCAAGTCACTCATCTGAAAAAACCCTTGATGATTTCTTAATTTATTCGACCAATAAAAGTATTAAATCCAATCCAACCTTCTTATTTATAATGAACTCTGGATATGAAAACACTAATTATTTGATAATAAAAATATTAATATCTAATCAACCTTCTTTAACTAGCTTTTTTATAATGAACTCAGAATATGAAAACATTAATAATAAAAAGTTGATTGCACAAAAATGTAATATTTTTTTATTAATTTCTCCTTCAGATTGCCTTAATCAGGTGAATAATAAATTACTATTTGCAAAAAAAATTAATTTTCCTCAATTTATTTCTGGCCAATGATATGTGGAGTTTACAATCCGGATTTTTACTATTCTATTTAAAACATCGTATAGCATATATTGGTGCGATTTATCTTTGGAAAATGTCTAGTTTTGATATTCTTCTGCACTAGTAATGGGCAAATTGCGGTTTTCCAAAATATCCCGCGCGGATCCTGCGCATGCCCATCACTAATCTGTTTCTATTTATCTGCTCAATATTTGATATAAATGTACGTTACTACTGGAACATTTATTACCGTATAAAAATTACTTTTCTTATGCTGAAAAACTTCCTTATTATAAATTATTTTATTTAAAATTGTTTAGAGGATATTTTATTTATTTCAAAATTAACATAAGTACACTTTTCGGTTATATTTGACGAGTGATTATTCAAAAGCCTGGGCCGTCTTTCCACTATTATGCGTTGTGATATTAATCACTTCTGGGATTACGGTAATTATTGGATTGACAATGTAAGATCCCGCTAATAGAATATCGGATAATGAACTAAGGAATGTGAGGATTAGATGGTAGAGGACTTACTGTATTATTATATAGCTAAAGAGACATTCTGTCTCAAAAGGCCAATTACGGCTTTTATTTATAATATTATCTCAATGTTCAATAAGTTCAATCATTATATATATGCGAAAAATCTAATTTAACTGATTTATTCCATGATTTAGAATTTATTATTTAAACAAAATTTGAAATACTTTATAATAATCTATTAAAAAAAAAGCCATCATTGTTTTTGATCGGTATTTCATAATTATTAGCGTTCCTATTATCAACTAATAATATTAGTTGTTTCATTAGAGGTTATATTTGGTTGGTACTTACTTCGTTCTATGAGACGTAAAATAAATAAGTTAATAATGCAAATTAAATTACATCGGCAATATATTCTTGTAATTGTACGTTAGATTCGTTAAGGTATCTTCGTTCAAAATTTTAAATTCTGAGTTACTATTTTACTGACTATGAGTTGGAAGTCAATTCCTAACAAGCCTTTCATGGTACTTTACTATTGTTTTGGAAGAGCGTTATACAAGAATGCCGGGTTTAACTCTAATAGTGAACTTGGGTAGGTAATATGAACAAATTTTATGGAGTCTCGGTGGTTTAATTAAATCAGGGTTATCGGGTGATTAACTTAACGGGATCGATTAATTTAACGTTAGTGATATATTAGGGGTTTAAGGTTAATCAAAATATTAAGTAATTCGGGGTTAAAATATGTATCGGTTAATTAATAAGGCGCAGCGTAACGTTTATTAGTAAAAAGTTATGAAAATATGGCAAAGAAAGAAAAAGAAAAAAATAAAACGACTCAGTTTCAAACTAAACTACTATTGAGAATCCGATTCCTAATATTTATCTTATATTCAAGACATCAAAGTTTGAAAAGACTTTATTAAAGCAATAAGATTGTCTGTATATACATTTTTTTCTTCCTATACTATACTCTGACATTCATAATCACCATTCCTTCTTCACAACCTCTATTCCTCCTCTGGTCCGTTATCCTTACGGTTACACAATCATTGTTATTATTGATTTCCGACATTGTACAGGGTACGTAGTAATTGACAACTGACATTCACATCCGACATTCTCAACAACCTGTTTCTACCCTAATATAGGTTTATCAGATATACCTCACACTAAAAAAAAATAACAAATAACAAATTAAATCGTGATTGTCCAAGCCCCAGTTATACGGCACGAGGAATCGTGACAATACTTTTAGTTCCGTAAATTGGTGTAACCTGATCTATAATCCGTATAAAATTTTTTTTTACGTACTTAAGTACATATGTTGTTACCATCTTGGTTGAGAGAGCAATACGCACATTTTAGTTCCGATACCAAAAGCTTGTGGAGGACATGAATGAAGGATTTTAAGACAGCTCCTTCTTTATTAAGGTCTCAAGGTCATCGTTAAATACATAATTTTGGATAAAAGTTTATGCATTTACATTCATACAAACAGATCTTGAATGAATGCACTTTCATACAAAATAAATTACAATCACCTATTGTAACAACGTACGTACGTATAAATACATAACAATAATTCTGTATTCAGTACGTAGAGATAGCAATTTACAAACCAAAATGACACCAAAATTTTATGACAAACTTTCAAAAGATTTTACTAAACTTCTTGAAAGTGAATATAATTATGACACAATAATTGAAGTTGGTGAACAACCAAATATCCAGCTTTATAAAGTGCATTCTGCAATCTTATATCAACGTTCCATTTACTTTCAAATGAAATTAACAAATGCAAATAAAAAAAATAAATTTATTAATATTAAATTACCTCAAATTTCTGCCAAAATATTTGATATTATCATTAAGTAAGTTATATTATGTGTAATAAAAGTAAATAAAAATTAATTATTTAATTAAAATATCTCATTTAGATATATTTATGGCGGTGTAATCTCGTTAGAAAAGTTTGAAGCTTCTGGTGTATTAGATCTTCTGAAAACCTTCACCGAATTTAACCTTTTAGAACCTATTGAATATCTTCAATCTCGCCTTATTAAAGATCATGCACCTTGGCTTCGTTTAAATTTTTCTTACATATATCAGATTAGTTTTCAAAATGATAATTTTAAAGCTTTACAAAAATTTTGCAATGATATTATTGTAAAATACCCTTCTTTAATTTTTGACTCCGATGATTTCACTAAAATTCAAGAGAATGCTTTTATTTCTCTCTTAAAATCTGA